TGGCGGCTCCCCGCTTATGCAAATGAAGCCTGGGAAATTCAAATCCCGGGCTTCATTTGCAAGTGCGGTATGCCTACATTACCCTCCTAGTTCGAACTAGTGAGGTAGTGTAGACATACCCTTGGTGTGCAGGTAATCTTAACTAGTGTAGGCACAACTGGTTTTCACATTGCTCTATCATGTAGCTTCCAAAGTAGAGGTTGTGGAGGAGGGAAAGGAGCAATTGCTAGAATGGTTTTCTTGGCTACAAATACTGGCTTTTAGGGCTTGTACCCAACTGGCATAGAGTAGCACAAGTAGGAGGGTAAGTAAATGTTCTAAAGCAGTGTTTCTCAACCAGTGGTACGAGTACCCTTTGGGTATTCAAGAGAAGTCTGGGGGTACGTCAACACAACTGAATTTTTGTTTTAAGTTTTACAGCGCTTCCTTATATTTGTACTTTTTACACGCACAAATTTCATCGCCCACCCGGCTACGATTAAGTTGTTTAAACAAATGTGTTGCAATGGTAGAAAAAATTTTGTGTCTGAAAACTGTAGGTACTGGGGGTACTTACAATTTTTTTCTAAAGCGGGTACTTTATAAAAAAGAAAAAGGTTGAGAAACACTGTTCTAAAGTACATAGGTTCCACACTGAGTCTTATCATAACATCAAGGAACTAAGTTATTTGGAAAGAATCAGTCTTATTGTCCTCTGACTGTACAGTGCCTAGCACAGTGGGTCCCACTCTTGGTACATGCCTGAGGCTCCTACGTGTCATGGTATTATGAATACAGGATTATGACAAAGGAGCTACAATTGGCTCCTTTATGGTCCCCTCCCTCTCAACTATACCGAGTGAACATTAGGCATAGCTGAGATTCCAGGGTGAGGTTTTTGAAAATATGTAAGGGAGCGAATCATAGCAATTTGTGGACCAATTTGTCTTTTTTAATCTCTGAGCTAAACTACATCCCTTATATTTGTGTTTTTAATTCCATTAGTTCCATGATAAAAAGGCTGCTGGATGGATGGCATTAAAAACCAGATGAAATCAGCTGTGGCTCATGGCTGTTGAAGTTAGTGGACTCTTCAACAATAATGGGTATCTGGCCTAAAAATCCAGTAGAACATTCATCCAAAAATTATTGGGAAATAAAATGCAAAAGGCACAGATCCCACCTTCTCATGTATCCCTATTGTGTGATACACATGGGATCTAGCACAAAGTGGTCTGCCACTGAAACAAAATGAGTATGCAGAGTGCAAGAGAACCCTCCTCTAGAACATGGCTGCGAGGAAAGGCAGTACAGGCTCCCTAAAAAGATGAAGATCTATCATGTTTATGGTGGGGGAAAACCAGGGCCAGCCCACAACATTTTGGCACCTGAGGTGGGGAGCTCAAATGACGCCCCCATGCTAAAACTTGGGCTAAAACTTTGAAAGGTCTCAATTCTGCCTTCTTCCTGTTCTACTCCTCTCATGGTACTGCAAAGAGAATACATATGCACCAGCAGCAGACACAATTTTCTACACTCTGGGTCCTAGTGGCGTTCCACCACAGCCTGGCACCTGAGGCAGCCGCCTCAGTTCGCCTCATGGTAAGGCCAGCCCTGCTTGCCCAGCTTCCTTCCCCCTCCTTCTCTGTGGCCTCACCCTGCTCACTCCATCCCCCTTCCTCCCTGAATCCCATTCACTTTCACAAGGCTGAGGTAGGGAATATAACTCATTGACATGATTTGTTAAAAACAGTTTTTCAATTAAAAATATCATTTTCGTCAATAAATATGTTCATTTTAACACTAGTGGAACAAAATACTCCATTTTTCATATCAAAATGACTTTTCAAACAATAATTTTTTTATAATATTAAAACAAGTTAAGTCAAAGTTGGAACAATGTTTTGATTTCCTCAAAATGAAACATTTTGATTGACCCAAAACAATGCAAAAGTTGAAATTTTGCTTTAGAGTTAATTTTGAAAAAACATTTTTTTTGTTTGTTTTGGTCCATTTCAGAATGGAACATTTTTCTAAATCATGGAATTTCCTGTGAAACTGAAAATCTGATTTCCTAGATAGCTTTGTTGCCTCTAAACCTAAATTGTAGTATTTTTACTGAACCAAAATATTTAAAGCAGTACAACTCCCTCTTTCCTCCCCCAGTCTGGGCACAGTTATACTATAATAGCTTATCTCATTTGGGAAGGAGAGTAAGTTGTACTGTTCAAAGGCACCTTTATAGTGAAACACCTGCATCCACACTAGGTTTTGTACAGTTGCAAATATTTATGTCAAAAAATACACCCCCTAACCAAAATTGTGCTACCTGTACAAAATCTTTATGTAGACCAAGCTGAAGTCTCTAGCATAGCCTAAGAATTTAAGGGTTGATTTTCAGCAATGCCTAAACTGCACCCTTTGCAGTATCATCTCTCATTGATTATGTAAATAATTCATCACAAAACTTTCTGGAAGACCTCAGAAATGTATTTTTTTTACTGAAATTCACTTTTAAGAGAGCCACAAGAAAATCCATGCAAATACATGATCACAGGAATGCATGTCAATGCTGAAAACAGTCCATTATTGCATACTTTGTAAAATGAGAGAGACAAACACAGGGTCAAAACAGCCTTGCTCCCTGATGAGTCAACAGAGGTGAGGCACTTGGGCATCAGGAATAGGCAAATTTCTGTGCAGGTGCCTCTTATTACCTGAAACACACAAAGATTCTTGCCCTATTCTTGCCCTTTCTCAGAGACTGCGTCCACACTGGCACGATTTCATGCAAATACTTTTAACGGTAAAGTTTTTCTGTTAAAAGTATTTGCACAAGAGAGTGTCTACACTGGCATGTGCTTTTGCGCAAAAGATGTGCTTTTGCGCAAAAGCATCTGTGCCAGTGTAGATGCTCTCTTGCGCAAGAAAGCTCCGATGGCCATTTTAGCCATCGGGCTTTCTTGCGCAAGAAATTAACGTTGCCTGTCTACACTGGCCTCTTGCGCAAGAATACTTGCGCAAGAGGGCTTATCCCTGAGCGGGAGAGTCAGAGTATTTGCGCAAGCACTGATTTCATACATTAGAACGTTAGTGTTCTTGCATAAATACTTGCAGCCAGTGTAAAAAACTGCTTTTGTGCTAAATCTTGCCAATGCAGACACAGCCAGACAGATTAGACAGAAGGGATAGATTACGCCTAGAATCCTGTTGAAATCTGCTTCTAGTTGTATTACTCATCTTAAAGCAAACCTGGCAATTTGGATAATTGGTTTATATCCTCCCAAAAATTTAGCATGCTGCCACACTTCCCTGTAAGCTCATATACTTTACTGACATGGGACCCAAATCCTCTCCCTTTAAAGTTAATAGGACTTTCACCATGGCTTTAAAATGGCCAGGACTGGGACTATGTATCTTGCATTTCTTGCCAAGTCTTGAACTTTCCTGGGATTAAACATTTTAATTGTGTGCTGCAGTATTTGTATGAACAGACAGTTCCTCACAAAAAGCAATTTTGTAACTCAGTTATTTTGTAATCCTGTATTAGAATGATAGCTGTTTTTATAACTCTATCCTCTTCTGTTGCTGGCCTGGTTTCATTGCTATGTGACAGATGTGTTATTTATGGAAGGGGATTCTGCATATTTTAAAGCACATACTGCTTGGATCATCTGATCCTCAGCCTTTAAACCAAACAGGACAAAATGCCAAAGCTGGATATATTTTCATAGTGAAAAATCTCCCAGTTTCAGAGAGAAATATTCACTTTAACTAAAATAAAGCAAACAGAAAGAACCTTTAGCATCTGATCAGGTAATCTTATTAGTTATTAGAAAGGCCTACATTTAATATCTACATACTTGTATGGCAATCTCTAGTTATTACTGTGTAATTTATTTTCTGAATTAACGTTGTAGTCATTATTAGCTGTCCCTTACATAAGATTGGAATTTGCACAGAAAAATAGTTAGTAATGCATACAAACATCCACTCACTTCAATACCAGGGTAGAAACAATTTACATTCAATGATGCATTGGCTAAATAAGATTAAGGTTTAAAAAACTTGGATAAAATGTATTCAGATTGTTTCCTAGCATTTAAGAATAAACCCTCTGTTTCCCAGCATTTAAATAGGTATTAGTTGTATGTGGTTTGGGGAAGGGAGAGAAAGAAGAATTGATGAGCCACAGAAAATGTTTTCAAAAATAAGGAAATCCACTTTCTAAACCAGGTAGATTTTAGACTTTGTTTCACTCACCTGGCAGTTCATTCTTAAGGGAATGTAGTACCGATCACAGCAAGCTGTTCCATTTCTCTCCTTCTTCCCTTGGGGACACATTGACAATGGAAATGTAGCAAAACAGCTTTTGCTTACTAGGCATTTTTTCAAAACCTCAGATAAGCAGCTTTTTTTTTAAAGCTCTGTATATTTTTGTTCCACGTGTTAAACATTTGACCATAATTTGAGTGTTTCAGGAAAATGTAAGGCATTTTTGGAAATGTATACCTCTACTAATTTAGAAAAATCTAATTCCCACGATCACCCTATCACAATCTCTGCAGAGGATGATACCAATTTAATGTACGCAGCCAAACAAGATGCACCGTATTAATTTCAGAAGATAGAAGAAAGATATTAAATAAATTTTGTGGCATTTTGTATTTCTTCAGATTAAATTTTTTAAAATCAGTCTAGTCATAAAACCCCCCCCGACAACACTTCAGTGGTTGCATTGACCTCCATGATGTCAGAATGTCATTGTGCAACTGTAGCTAAGAAAAGCTTCTGAGAAAAAACAAAGGAGCATTGCATCTCACCATAACATGAGATGTGCCCATACAGTACGTAGAATTCATACTACGGTAGTGAGTAGTTGCTTTCAGTTTGATTAGACAATCATTGTTTTGCTTTTCTTGCTTTGATAGTGAGTATGTTTGTATGCTGCTTAAGTCTTCTTAGCGTTATTTAGGTCAGTATACTTATGATGGCTTTCATGGTCTGCAGCGTCTGATATATACAGTATGTGAAGGAAACCAGCATGGCATTTATGTTTATTCTCTCTTTATTTTATTATTTCTAAGAGTGGAGGAACATGCAATTTAATCAAAATTCTAAACAACAAAGTATCTGCCATTTCTGCATTGCAGATATATTTAGCTCTAACATTGCTTGTGGTTAACAGGGTGTAGCATTGACACAGACAGCTGATGGTGCAGTCAGACCCTGTGATCTTGTGGTTTTGTCAATACTGCTCAGGATTTTGATAAGCTGTAGAAAAAGAATTGCTATATGTTACATCAAAATTACATGTTTAGAATTGCTGAGCATTTTTTCTGGTATTGTCTTTTATTAATTAAAAAATAGTGTAAGCTTAAAAATTAAGAGAGCATAGCAAATGCATCCAGAACCTAATACATACTGCATGAAATCTTTCTTCACCCGGAGTATCTTACTGTAGCCATTCCAGCATTTCTTCAGTGAGCAGAAAGATTGGTTTATTTTCCTCAACAGAAGGATGCTGTCACTGTAGAAGCAGGTTTTGATAAGAGTTTGAAATACCTATTACTGCATTATTGCAGAATTTAGAGTTTTCTGCACACTGTTTAGTGACTGGGGCTCATCTTGCATCACCAGTTGATGACATTTTTTCTTTGTTCCCTCCCACGCAGTTGAATCAAGACTGTAGCTGATGTGCAGTGTCACTTACAACATTAATCAGATACTGCATTTAAGGTGAGCTGTCCCTTGCCTCCACCCTTACCAGAGCCGTGCTGCAGTATGTATCTTATTCCTGCAAGCCTAAAATGGCAGGCAGGATTAATGTTGCTTGTGCTGTGTGCATGCTGTGTATAGAATTCATTATATCATGCCTACTATTTCAAATGTGAGTATGTAAATGCTCTGTGTGCCATATGTGATAGTGAAGACTTGTTTGTGCTTCATTACAGGCTTAGATATTTAAGCATCACCTTTAAAATTCTCTTTCATTTACAGTATAGTGATCTGTTAGCTTGTCATAACATTCAAAATACAGTATTAGCCCTTTTTATAAAAGCAAACTCTGCTTCCACATGGTGTCACCCTTTTTCTTGTATTTACTGTAGTTTAAATAATGTATGCTGTATTGTTAATTAATGTGAATATCAAATTAAAGCACTTGAAACGTACATATTTATTATGCAGGTAGGAGGCACGTCAAATCTATTTTTAACTCTTACGCAGTCCACGTTGTGCAATGGGCTTTGGTTATCGAGTTTGTATTTTCAGCAGTGATACCAATAGGCTGATTTTTAGCAAATGTGACAAGTGGCCTTTGCAGTGGTCAGCTTCACTCATTGAACCCTCTGTAGGTGGGAGGGAGACTACGTTGTGTTGCAGTTTCAGAAAACCTTGGATGTGGACATCTCCTTCTTATGATCAGTGTATTCAAGCTGCTTCCCATCTGATTTTTGACAACTGCTTCTAAAAATTTATCGAGAAGACCGAGAATTCAATTGATCTCCATCGCTTTACATAAAAATGGCTGGGTATACTGCCATGTTAACACTGCATTAGGAGGTACACACAGGTAGGTTGAGATTTGCATGTTTTGTAGATTTCTCATTCAGTGCTGCAAAGACAAAGTGGTTTTTAAAATGTAGCTTTCAGTATAAAAATGTATCGAACAGTTAATTTTAAAAAATAATAATCTAATACTTAATGGTATGGCTTCACATATTGGCATGACGATTGTTTTCACCTGATAAAATAATCTGTTGTGAAAGTGAAGCAATCATGTCTGTTAAAATAATCATAGGTAATAAGGGCGTGGCAACGCTTATGCAACAAAAGAATTTTTTAAAAGACTATTGATTTGGTGCATTTTAAAATCTATTTTGAAAATTATTGGACTTGTAGATAAAATGTAAAAATAAAAGTTAAGCTGGATAAGAAAAATGAAAAATATTTAATTTCTACTATAGGAAGCGGTCTTTCAATGTGCTCCGTGAATGCTTAAATAAAGATTATTTTGCTTTATTAGAGATATTTTTCTATTTCAGGTGCCAAAGAAAACCTACAGTATTTCTTTTTATTTTAATGCATAATGTTTTTAGAAATAGATATAGATGGCCCTGTCAGTTTAATGAACATCAGCTCAATACAGTATGGTTTATTTCAAACAAAAGTGGTTTAGAAATTGAAACTAAACAGCTCTAGATACAAAAGCCTGAACTTGAGCAATTTTACAAAAAATAAATTATCAGTATTGTACTTCTGACACTGGCTTCTGAAATAAATTTATTTCAAATTAATACCGGGCCAGACCTGTTTCCTTGGTAACCAAATCCTGTTAAAAAGTGCTATAGTAGAGATACAAAGAAAGTTTTCTTGTTAAATACCATGATGCAAATGTAAATTTTGCTGTTAAGTTACTTTTTAGTTCTAAATGAGAAACTGATCTCATTTTATGTTTCCGTGCGATTATCATTTCTTAAGTGACGCCATGTTTGCAAGAACTGCTTTCTCTTGTTTTGCATTGATTGCCTCCAGAAATGTACCAAAGTATCTTTTTTAAGCATTGTATGAAATGCAGTTCAAGGTCTGTGCAGTTTTTGTATAAAATAGAAGTTTCATTATTACTAATGTGCAAGTATCACTAAAACGATAGACAGCTGAGAAATGTAGAGAATCGAAAACATCCTTAAACCTTCTTTCATAATCACTGAATTTAGCAACAGTAGAGCTGCGGACCTTTCATTAAACAGAACCCTTCTGAAGTCCATCTAAAGCACCATGTTTAACCATTTTCAAAAAGTGCTTTTATATTTTGGGACATCAGCAAAACTTAATATCTCATTTGTGGTTTGCTGTAATGTATGAATCACAGATTTTGCACCGTTTGAGTAAATATTGATTAGATAAAACAGCTTGTCTAACATTTTTACCAGTATTTGTAAAATCAAACCCCATCTGTGCTAGAGAAAATTTCTTAGGCAGTCTTAAATTGTGCTAAATGTTTCCACTTAGCTTATAACCTGGTTATCTCCTTATGGATCTCCTTGGTTCATGATTTGAGAAATTCTTACTGCAAAGATATTTTTTGCATCACGGTAGCCATTTTCCTTTCATGTTCTTGACTTTAAAATGCTTAAGTACATTTTGTGTGGAAGAGAAGAGGCATACAAACACAATCTCACTGTGATCGAACTAATTTTAATTTATTTTTAAAAAGATTTTCTACACTCATTTTAATTTGTTTCTAAACGGATCATCAGTTCAGTGTATTCCCAATAAATGACTTCTATCATCTGTTTTGATAGGCCAATGCTGAATAATCATTCCAAACTCATTTGATTTATTTACTAGGTTAGTCTGATACAGTACAGGCATTATTTCCCCATTCCATTTAAAGAAACGCAGGTGAAAACATTAAATAGAGTTACTAGTGTGTGTTTTACAAATGACATTTTAAAGTAGAGATTTTTAATTATATTCATAATTTCATTCCTTCTGGTTGCAAGGATTTGATGTACATTTTATCCTTGGAATGTACTTTGCAGCTGGTTCCTCAGTGCTGTTATTAACACTGTATTTCTTTGTGTTTTTTTCTGTGCATGGCATTATTTTCTAGGAAATTTTAGTTACTCCTGAGCAAAAGCTATGCAATGGCAATCTTAATTACATTTTAAAATGTTTTTAGTATATTGTACCATGTCTTAGCAAGAGGGTGGAGCACCATACGCATAATTTTTTACATTCTTTTATTTTGTCTCTGTGGTTCAAATGATCGTACCATACCCACAATGTTTAAAGAATTAAAACATAATTCTTGGTTATTTCAGTATGTTTGTTTTGTCTCCATTTGCAAATTTTCTCTTTTGTCAGAATGTAGACCCTTTTTAATTGATAATACCAAAATAATAAATGTTGCTTCCCTGGCTTCTGTGAAAATTCATTGTCAGTGTGAGAGCAGCAATTGTTCTGAACAAGATGATTCACTTATTAAGGGGGATTCTATTTATTATCACTCTGTTCTGAGTTTAAACTTCCAGCATGGATTGCTATGTTTGTTTTTAATAGTATGCTTCTAATGAACGGGAGGTGCCCAGATTCTACCACAAAGGGCACCATATGTAAATCTTATGTAAATCTTATGGCTTTGAGGCCTGAAAGAGGTACATTGGAACAGTAGAATTTCATTCCCAGCGTACAACCAGACAAATGCAGACTTTTTTCCAGTTCTGCTTTGGATGCCAAATATCTGATATTTAACCCCCAACTTTTATAACTGAAAGCTATTTTTAAGCCTATGAATTCCAGTTTCTGTCTTGCAGAAAAACTAAGCAAATTTTGAATACAAAGGAGACAAAACTACAATTGTTCCAACAGCTATGCTATCTGCAGTCCCACCTACGTTTCAGTAAGGTCTTTTTCATTAACATCCCACTGCTTACAATGTGAAGTCATCTAGGTTCTGTTGATTTTTGTCATGGTATCACAGCTTTTGATGTGGGTTCTCATTATCAGGGAATCCTTGTAGTGCTGTCTTGAACATCTAGTGGATCTTTTAGTACTGATCTTCATCTTCTGACTGCCATGTTTTATTCTTAGCTTTCATATGACCACATACCAGAAAGCTGTAGGATTCCTCAAAGTTGTGTTTTAAGCTTCAGCCTCGTCAAAACATCAAAATCTTTGGCTTGACCTTATGAATAAAACGGCTTATTACAGTATTGCTATTTCAGTTTATCTTGCTGAGTTAGACCTAATCTTTTATTCTTACCTTGCTGAAATTAAAATGTGGATGCCATGGTATATCTGAATCAGAGATTTCCACCCTTTGTTTTTCATTTGCGGACCCCCTCTGGAAATTTTAAACAAAATCCATGGATCCCCAGGGGTCTGTGGACCACAGGTTGAAAGACACTATCTATATGAAAGCGAAATATTGAAAAGAAACACTGCTAAAATTGAAAAAAGAGTTATATTGGGCTCAGCTTTATTATCTGAAGTTCAGAGGCCAGATTCTGCAGTTGCTATGAATGTGATTATTGGTATATTTGAAAAAGGAAGATGAACCTAACTCTTTTATTCTTAACTGTGGTACCGCTACTGCTGTACACATGACTTAGACTGCCTGCATCTGGCCCCCAAGACTTATCAGTTACTGCACAAAACAATGTCACTTTGTTCAGCATCTTTTATATAAAACCTTATTCCAAAATGTTTAAAGTGTTAAATAATAGCAGAGGGAGAGAGAGTAACTAAATAAAATTTAGAAAAAGATGAAGAGTCAGCTCACAAAAGAGAGAAAGGGGCTTATGTTCCAGAAGGGAGGAACTGCTTGGGAGAAGGAACTTTCACCAGCTATGATTAGGGTTACTATCTTTCTACATGCACAAAACTGAACATGCTAGGTCCACCCATTCCCCGAGGTGCCCCTCCCCCCTCACTACATTACTCCCTCCCTTAGTGACTCCTCCCCCCCCCATCCTTATTCACTTACACTTAGGTGGGAGAGGGGCTGTGGGTTTGGGCTCTGGAATGAGACAAAAAAATGAGGAGTTCAGGGTGTGGAAGGCAGCTCTGGGGTTGGGGTGGGGACGAGAGATTTGGAATGTCAGAGGGGGCTATGGGTTGAGGTGGGAGTTCTGGTGCAGGAGGGAGTGCAGCCTCTGTCTGCAAGTGCAGGCTCTGAGGTGGGACCATGGATGATGGTTTTGGAGTGTAGGAGGGGGCTCCAGGTTTGGCAG